TATTAGCCATGTTGCAAAAGAAAACAGAGACCAACCCCCCCCCCGGAAAAAAAAAGTTTTAAAAAGTATGCTTCAATCTGCATTTAGAATTCTTCAGTTCTCCGGATAGCATTTTTCATCATAGGTCTTTTGGAATTCTCTTGGATCACTGCTTCATGAGCATAGCTAAGTCTTTCACAGTTGATCATCCTTACAATATTGCTGTTCCTATGTACAATGTTCTCCTGGTATTGCTTGCTTTACTTTGCATGTAGGAAATGTGTTTGAATCAAAACTCTTTCTCCTTACCTGAGTGACCCTGGGCAAGTCAGTTGGGCTTTGTTCTATTATATGTAAAAGGAAGTTTTGAATTAGATTTTTCCTTAAAGTCTTTTTCAGTTTCTGATTCCATAAATAATTATTTCAGAAACACTGAAACTTCATACACATGGATCATGTAACTGTTATCGGAGCTGTTAATGTGGTAATACAAAAATGCTACCTATAGAATAGATTATTTCTAATAAACTCACACACATCTATGGATATAAGAAAATTGCTTGACTCATAGAAATATGTAGCACATGCGCCATGTGAATTAAACCTAATTTTGAAACATTAAAACCAATTTCCTGTAGAGAAAACAGAAATTCTACTGAGGATGGTACTAACATTTATAATGACCAATAATATTTGGTATTTATGTCACCTTTCATCCTTAGTTCAGCTGAATAAACAGTAGAGTAGATAAGCACCAAGGAAACCAAGATAATATTAATAATACCTTTCATTTTTATCCCACAAATTCTAAGTGTTTTATAGCTGTTACGCTCACTTCATTCCTAGAAGTTAGTGGTTATGCTTCTAACAAAATGATTTGATAAGCTTATTCAACAAGTCCTGGTCAAGAGGAGAATCCAAATCTTTCAATTCACAGATCTCTTCAGGAGATGAGCTTTGATAAATCGTTTGTGCATATAATCCAAAAACCTTGGAGATTATCTAGCTCAATACCCTCATTTTACAAATGAGGAAATTGAGGCCCAGACTGGTTAAACTTGAAATAATAGTCATTCATCTATGTATGTTTTGATTGACTTTATTTTCATAGCACCAGTTAAGAAGTACAAAGTCCTCGCAGGCTGGTTCTTTATAAAAGGCTATTTACAAAGTTTTGTTCTCATGCTCCACTGGGCATCTATACTCTATGAGCAGATACATGTCTTCCAAGGAACAACTGAGATTTTAGGGGAAGGAGAAGTTGCATTCCCTACATTTAAGGAACTTTTATGCCCTATGAGTGGGTAAGGGAAAGGATAATATATATTAGGTTTTTTTAAAGTCTATATATGAGCTCTTATTGGGATAGAGTGTAAAACTCCTTTCCCTGATGCATTTCAGCAACTTGGCTTTAATAGTTTTAGGAACCTGGGGTCACTAAGACCTTAAGTGACTTACTTGTCCATGGTTGCATACTGACTGTATCAGAGGCAGGACTTCAGTTTAGGTCTTTCTGTACTCTAAGCTCTTTTATCAGTGCATTACAGTACTATTTCTCAGTGGACTGAGGTTAAATTCATTCTAAATAGAGGGTTTGGTGCTGATGTCTTTAAATGAGACTTTAGGGGTACAGTTCCAAATAGTCAAAATTAAGCATTTTTTTTCATCACCTGGATCTTGGTTAGGAAATCTCAAGATCATAGAGTCAAATGTGGAAGGGACTTTAAAGGCCATGGAGTATGTCCCCTTTCATTTTCAGATGGGGAAACTAAGGAACTGGGAAGTTAAGTGACTAAGTGTCTGCTTAGGAGTTTGAACCTAGGTCTTCCTGAGTCCAGGTGCAACGTTCTAACCTTTCTGATATAAAATGAAAATGAAGAAGTGGGGTTTTATGATTTTGGAATTTCCCCTTAGATTATAAGCTCCTTGAGGGCAGAGAAGTCTTTTAACTTTTTTTTGTATCCCCAGGACTTATCACAGCTCCTGGTGCGACGTATATGCTTAATAAATGTTTATTGACTGACTAGTGTCCAGGGAAATAAAAATTTTTAATCCAGATCATGAAGTTAGTTCTTCATAATAGCTCCATACAGAGAACATTCCTCTGTCCTTTCCAGCCTCTGGCTAATTAAATCCACCTCAAGGATTTCTATGATCCTCCCCTCCCCCCCAATGTAAAATATTTGAAGCTATTTGCCTACCTTGCAAATCATTATTGTTGTGAAAGTTGGAGGAACTGATTGTGCAGCAGAAGTTTTGCACCTAATTACATTTCTCCTCATTCTACAGGGGAACCCAGACACTGTAACAATGGTAGAGAAAGAGGATTTAAGTAGCCCACTGTTTGGACCATCTGTCATGAATATGGGACATATGTTTGCTTTGTTTATTCAAGAGCCAAGAGTAAACTGATATACTGAACTAGAAATCTGTCACTGGGTAGAGGAGGGCCAAATCTCTTGCTACCTGCTCTGTCATGAACACGTCCACATACAAATGAGTTGATTGTGTTTATGTGTGTCCCTGGTTTCCAGCATGCACTGAAGGTGCTTTCACAAGTCGGAGGTGAAAGAGAATGTAGGTATCATTTGGTGCAGTCCAGATGATTGAACCTCCTCTTGATTACAGTTGATGTGTATAGTTGAATAGAAAGATTGCTACCCACCCTGCACTCCCCTCTCCAATTGTTCTCTCCTATCCATTTCTTTTCCTGCCTTTCTCCCCTCCGTTGAACCCCCACTTCAAAATTCATTCAAAGCTTCCCTTCCTTTTCCCAACGAACACTCCTCTCCCCATCCCTCAATCAAAATGGCAAGTTTCTTTTTCTCCTTTTCTGTGACCCATTGTCTGCTATGATGTTTTGCCGGTCTCAACAGATGTGGCCTACTGTGCCTGGATTCATCTTGTTTACAATGGGAGATGAACTAGGACTTCAAATGCTGAATGAGAACTCAGTGGAGTCTGGAGTCCTAAAACAGATGCAGACTATTTCCCCTACTCTCTCTTTGGGCAAATTTTTGATTTTAGCTTGAGGCACATCCAGACATAGGGGGACCTCAGAGCATCTGAAGGATAGTGGTCCCAGGTGTGTGCATGTGTTGAAAGGGAAGGAGATTGGAGGTGTGTGTAGTGTAGCCACACACTGGTTTAAGAAAACAATCAAACAAACAAACACAACTCTTTAAATAATCAGCTTGGGTGTGGGATATGTTTGTGAAGTCATCACAGCATGGGCAAGGCATATTTGAATGTCAGAAGGTTTTTCTGGACTTTAGTCTTAGACTGTAAAACCCTTGGGAGAGAGAAAGAGAAGGGAGAAAGTGTGTGTCTGAGTCAATGTGTGAGCGTGATGACCATTGTGCATGGAGACATTTATGAATGTGTGTGTTCGTCTTTAACGCAAAAAAATCTTGACTCAGAGCTCCAAGTGACGTGGGAGAAAAGCACAGTAACAACCAACTTTGTGTTCCAAGGGAAAAAAAAAGCTGTGAAGTGATTTATACAATTCGCGATCACGCACCCTTTGTGATTATACTTGTGTTGGGGAGGGGAAGAATAGGGGGTAGGGATGGTGGCGCACGCATCTGTGTAGCCCCGCACGGAGCTTGCGGTTTGTCTGGGTTGGAGTTCTTAGAAGGGTGTGCACATGAATGTCGGTGTATATATGTGTCCGCTGTAGTGTGTGTCCTGTCCCTTTTTTTTTTTCAGTGGGTGGAGAAGGACGTGGGGAAACAAGGGAGAGTTGAACGTAGCAGGCAGTTCTGTTTCAACCACAGAGCAATCCGGTCTTAGATACTGACAAACCACATCGCTTCCAATAATCCATTAACATCTGTTCACATAACTGGGGTTCTGATCGGAAATTGTCGTAGAGAAACAAACAAACAAACAAAACTTTGTCCGCCGACATTTCAGAGAATTACTGTATCTTCTCTTGGGGCGAAGAGCCAAAGCCAGTAGGGGAAAAGAAACGGCGGGAGGAAGGAACCACTGCCCCCTCCCCCCACCCCCCAAAAAGCGCACATCTGGTTCCCGCTTCCTAGCTGCAACTGTATGTAGTCTGTTGAGTGCAGGTGGGTGAAAATTTAGAGCAAATTCTCCATGATCTGTTGGTTCAAGATCTCTTTTCTTCGCCTTTTTCTGGTTCCCACCCCTTCACTATCCAAACGGGATGGTTTTAAGGACAACAGTATGTGTGTGCTTGTGTGTAGCTGGGAGGAGGGAGTGGATCTGTAAACTGCCGTCCCAGGGCACACTAATAGTAGGGTCTCCTAAAGCAAAGAATTTGAGCCCTGCAGGGTTTGCACCTGCTTCTTGCTCGCAAACCCTTTTCCTTGCTTGGAGCATTGTACTATATCGGCGGCGATCAATAGGTCTCTCTGGGCTCCTTGCTCCCTTTTCGCTGGGCGGCGGCGTTGATGCAATAGAGGGCTCCGGGATTGGGGTGCGTGGAGACGATTTGAGGGGTATGTGGTATATTGGACGTCAAGGCCGAAGGGGTTTTCTATTGGAGTTTTTAACTGAGGAAACTAGTTTCTCCACCCGGGTCACTATAGAAATAAACTCTGGGGTTGGGGTTGGGGGTAGAAAGAGGCGGGAGGAGTAGTAGACAGAGGGAGAGAAAGAAGAGGAGAGAGACGAGGGGAAGAAGAGTGAGAGGAGAGGGGGGGAGGGGGAGGGAGAGAGAGAGAGAGAGAGAGAGAGAGAGAGAGAGAGAGAGAGAGAGAGAGAGAAGAGAGAGAGAGAGAGAGAGAGAGAGAGAGAAGAGAGAGAGAGAGAAGAGAGAGGAGAGAAGAGAGAGAAGAGAGAGGAGAGAAGAGAGAGAAGAGAGAGGAGAGGCAGGCGAAGTTCCTAGGAAAAGGGGACTCCTTCCACATCAGCAGGCTGCTGCCACTGCCACTGCCGCCGCTCCCGCTGCTGCTGCTGCTGCGGCAGATACTATGACTTCGAAGCTGCTTTGGGGCTCCGCTCCCAGCCAGCGGAAAGTAACATTGTTTATTTAATTCTGTGCTTGCATTCAGTCGACAACGCTCCTCCGTAGCAGCCGGAACAAGACACCTCCTCGGACTTTTGGGGAAACCTCCTTGGAGATCCATCTCCCTCTGGCTGCCCTCGTGCAGCTTGGGAGCGTTCCCTGGCTTTTAACAACGTATCCCAAGAAGAGGACCCTCCCAGCGAGAAAACCGAGGTGGGGGTGGGCAGAGAACCCCAGCCAAGGAAAGCTTCCTGAGGCGGGGGAGAGGAGGTTGGGGGTGTGTGTGGGGGGAGGTGGGGAGAGAGACAGACAGAAGGAAGAGGAGGAGGAGGTGGGAGGCTCCAGGCTCTCTCGCCTCTAATTTCAAAGCTAGCTCTCCCTTCCAGGTTGGGTCGGACGTGAAACCCTAAAAGCGCAGAAATCCTTCAGCCCCTCCATTGCCTTCGGATCCCAAGAACCAGCAGCCGCGGCTGTGCCTGAGGACGGAGTTTTGCTCTTGAACTCGATGGATCTGAACTTTGGGCTGCAGAATCATCAGTGCGGCTGTTGGGAGATCGCTACGTGCTGATCTCCGGCAAGGGACGGCTGCTAATTATTATTATTATTATTATTTTTGTGGGGGGTGACCAATAGCTGGGCGCTCGGCACAATGTTTCTTGCCACCTTGTACTTCGTGCTGCCGCTCGTGGGTAAGTTGTCCTTTTTTCGAATGTGACAGATCCCAGTGTACCCCTCCCCCAGCTCTCAGGACAGGGTGGGATAGGGAAAAGTGTGTGAGTGTGTGTGTGTGTGTGTGTGTGTGTGTTGAAGTTGTTTGGGGGAACTGGATTACATTATTAATCCTTTTGTAAAGAAACTCCACAGGTTTAGGAAGGGGGGGCAGTTCTCCCTCCCAAACCCCAACCCCTGTTCGTGATTTTGCTTTGCCTTTTTTTTTTTTTTGCGTTCTATGACCTTGTCTCGATTCCCTCTGCAGCTTGCATCCAGTGGGGCACATCACTGGTTTTTTTGTTTTTTTTTTACCCCAGAACACCCCAGGGTAATTATGGAAGCGATTTGATTCCGGTTAGCGAGAAGGCAAAAGATGTGAACAGCGAACTTACAGGGAAAAACTTTTCCCAATTTGCTTACCCGCCCAACCTTTGCTGCCGGAATAACTGGCTGCTTGTGTGCCTCAGTTTACCCAATCTCATCCCCAGAGACTGCCTCGGCCCCCCTCCTCCCACTTACTTTCCATCTGCTTTATAAATCCAAATCATTCTCACCACGCCTGCCTTAACCCCAGCGTTCCAGCGCCTTGGCGTGGGCAGTGGGTGTTTTTTCACTGCAAGCCTTGAGTAGTGGGTGGGAGGGTTGGGGAAATTTTTCACTTTTGTGCTTAGCCCAAAAGGCCTCGAGCCTGACGGCAAGTTAGTAACCTGGCTTTGTATTAACCTCGGAAAGCAGATTCAAGGGTAGAATTCTCCGTTTGGGGGTCAAAAGCCCAGCGCTCCCACAAGTTGAAGTGGGGCAGGCTGTGCTGACTGCTGTTTTCCTTTCTCTGGCACCCGCTTCTTGTGTGGGGAGCAGACCTGAACCCCTACTGGCCACATGGCAAGCCACTCACCAAGCCAGCTTCAGTGGGAGGGTGAGGGCACTGATTTGGGGCTAGGAGGAGAGTGACGGTCTCCAAAAGGCCAGCAAATAGAATCCCCCACCTCTTACCACACATTTTCTTTCTATACATTTAAAAGTAATTCCCTCCTCAATATGGGTAATAATGCAAGCAAGAAAATGAATGGAAGGTTTTTAAGCCCCTCATTAACATGCTTAAAATCAGGTTCCCTTTTATAAGAGCAAAGTATTGGGGGAACGTAGGGAACGTTGTATTTCTCACCCCTCCTTCCCTTTCTTCCCCCTTCTAGATATCCTTTTGACAGCCGAAGTCAGTGGCGGGGACCATTTGGACTGTGTGAAAGCCAGCGACCAGTGTCTCAAAGAGCAGAGCTGTAGTACCAAGTACAGAACCCTGAGGCAGTGTGTGGCGGGCAAAGAGACCAACTTCAGCCTGGCATCTGGGCTGGAGGCGAAGGATGAGTGCAGGAATGCTATGGAGGCTCTGAAGCAAAAGGCACTTTACAATTGTCGGTGTAAGAGGGGCATGAAGAAGGAGAAGAATTGCCTGCGCATTTATTGGAGCATGTACCAAAGCTTGCAGGGTAGGGACCCAACCCCCACCCGGACTCCTTCAGTTAAGCCTCCCGCCCCGCCCCGCACCCAGCCTCACTTACCATTTCCCTCCTAGCTTTCTCTCCAGGCTTCCCCCCACCCCAGTCTCCCACTTCCCCCTTTAGTCACGGGCAGGCTGGCTACACTGCATGCAGCAAGCCCCGTCGAAGGGAGCTGACCTCATCCTGCACTTGGTTGCTGTTCAGTTTGAGAATGAGGACCTTTCATCAGACCCAGGCAACATCAGCAGCTGGTGTTTCCTGCTGCTGAGACAGTCGTGGCTCCCTTGTTCTCCAGCAATCCACATAAGGATTATGAGGTTAGGGGGCGTCCTCCAAGCCTACTCAGGCGACCCTTCTAAAGAGATTAGGGCAGAAACAGATGTAGAGGGCCATCCCAAGAATTGGGAATTCTGCTTTAAGACAGTTGGCTTCCACAAAGATCGTTGGAGACTTTTAAGAGTATGTGCCCCGAGTACGTTACTTTTTTGTTTTTGTACTTCCCATCACTCATAGAATTAGTGGTTATCCTTTATTAGGAAAGATGCAAGTATTAACTCTAAAAAGTCCAGAGATTTTTTCCCCCCGTATTGACTCCCCCCCCCCCACCAAATCCTGATCATCAGATTGTGAAAAGCCTTTTGTCATTTTAGATGAGCATAAGAAGGGTGTCTTGAACCAGCTGGTGTGGTTGAACTTTGGATAACAGAAATAGCTCATTGGAGAAGAAATTCACTTGTCACCAGTGCCTATTCCAAGGGGAATTTTCTGTTCTTGAGCCCTAGAGGCCTTTTACTTTTGTTGATCTAGTACAGACATCCTGTTCATTCAATCACCCACTGAAACTGTCACTGAACACCTGACAATGTGTGAATTTGACCTTGATTTGCCACCACTTCCATTAAAACTTTGGAACTTTCTTGGAATCTAGTTTGATTTCTTTACGTCTATGATTAAAAGGGTCCATCACAAATTATCCCATTTTTAGCTGCAGTACCTGGTTTCTGGTTATTAATGTAGAATTTTTACTAGAAGAGATGGTTTGCATCTTTCCAACCTTATTTCCATTGGCTCCAGGAGGCAGGCAGGACTTGTGATGTCACTAGCTTGTTCCTCTGTGATTTCATCCCATTCTGTAGAGTGGGGGAGTTTCTGGCAAGACACACTGGATTGCTCTCCAATGTTTTCATGGCACTCTGGGGAGAGAAAAGAACAACAAAAGAGGAAAGAATTAAAAGAAATAAACAACCCACAAAGATGAATCTTAAATCTTTGGAAGTCTCAGCATCATTTTTTTTTCTATGCTATAGATAATAGAATAGCGAGTGAAAGTAATGTGTATGCAATTATTTTTTTAAAAATAGAATAAGTAGAATTCAGTAAGGAATATAATACTGAGAGCCCCAGATAGCTTCAGATAATCTGCATGAAAAATAGCCCAATTTTTCTTTTGCTTTTAGGAAATGACTTGCTTGAAGATTCCCCATATGAACCAGTTAACAGCAGATTATCAGATATATTACGACTAGTCCCACATATGCCAGGTAAGCAGATTTATAGCTCTTCATTGAAAATGCCAGCTTCCTGTATTAAATGAACTGCTTTGAATTCTGTTTAACTCTGTATTAGTGTAGGTAATAACAGTAAAATGACTATGTGTATCTGGGAAATTCTAGGTAAGCTGGACGAAGTGTAAATCTTTCTAAGAGTATTTTGTGGTTTTTAAAGTCTAAAATGAAATTGTTTAGTTGGGAAAAAGCAAGTGGCTGTTCTTAATTATATGTAGTGGGTTTAAAAAATGCAGTTGGTCAACTCTTGGGAAGGAAATGCCAGTTCTACCTGTAGGTGGCAATAAAATTCCCTTCTTTATCATACAGTAGTAGCTCTGCCTAACTCACATCATTTGTTACTTACATTACAGAAGATCTGAAGATAATCTTTGGTGGGGGGAGGTTTGGATGAACTCAGTGTTGTTTTCCCTGCCTTTTAACTTAAAAGATTACATCGGATCATTTACAAAAAAGTAATCCTTTCAGATTAAGAATAAATCAAGTTTGTAGTGTTCTAAAGAACATATTCCTGTGCTATCATGTCTTCAGAAGCATTGCTTCAAATTGTGTATTTGGGCCTTCAGAGAAGTTTTTGTTCTGGTCTGAATGGAAGTGATATTTAAGGTTTTCCTAAGCATAATGAAGGAGAGGCATGTTTCAGGCAGATGTTACATTTACTTATTCTCTGTTAATATTTCCCATAAGAAGATCTATCCATCAAAAATGGTAGGTTGTTTCTAAGTGGCAAAACATAGGGACTGATGTTGAATTTAATACCATATCAAAATATAACTTGTTGCTGGTACAGATGCTATATATTCTAAATACCTAATTTACGTTGTACGGCATGCAGAAGGGGGTCCAAGGAGCCATAGCAATAACAGGCTAAAGAGGAAGGTTACTAAGCTAGGAGGAAAGAGGGCAGTTCCAGTGTTGGGGTATTAGCATATTATTGGAAGAAATAGAAATAATTTCTATTCTGATTCTCTGGATTCACTTGAGGCCAGCCATGGTCAACAAGGAGCTAGAAATCCTGGAATTTTCTTGGTGGGAGCTCAAGTTCACTGCAGTTAGAGCAGGAAAGGTACATCAAAAGATCATCTCATTCAGGTCCTTCATTTTGAGGAAGCTGAGGTCCAAGGGAGTGAAGTGATTTGGCCATGATCATAAGGAAGTGGTAAAACCAGCATTATGAATATGAGTCTTTTGAATGTCCAGATCCAGAGCTTTCCTCACTATATCTTGTTGATATTTGAGCCTATTGTAAAATTCTGTTGAGCCAGCTATGAAGGAATATGGAATAAAGAAGAAAGAGAGATTCAGAAAGAGTCAGGAAGGCTGGGATTTAATTCCATTTCTGCCACTAACTCTGTGACCTTAAGCAAATCACCTACAGGCCTTGGTTTTTACATCTTTACGATGAGAGAGTTCTGGACTAAGTGACCTCTAAGAGTCCCAGCTCTGGCATGCAATGTCCCTACGATTCTAGGTCTGTTGGAAACCAGATGTACTTTTTTTTTTTCCGTGATTTATCTCACTTGTTTTCTTGTGCATTTTTTCTAGACCTGTGATTTCATCATTGTAAGAAGTTTCTGTTGAGAAACTCAGTCTATCAATGCAGATATCACCTGTTTGTTAATTTATAATCTTAGAGAGATGCCTGGCCACTGAGAGTTTTAAGGGAATCACATAAGGTTGTATAGCCAGTGTAGGTCAAAGGCAGGATTTCAACCCTTTGGTGATGGTGAGGTCTGTTCTCTATCTATATTGGCTCTCAGGCAATTGTTAATACCTTGTATTTATTTGTGCACTTAAGCAAAGTGGTCCTGATTGGCCTTGGAGACAATTAGCTTCTTATTGACAGAACTTCCCTTTCACTTGGTAGATTTTAACCATTCTCTTTTCTTTTCAAATGCATCATTTAATCAAGGATGTTGTTGTTCAGTCATTTCCAGTGTGTCTGACTCATTGTGACCCCTTTCGGGGTTTTTTGGCAAAGATATGGGGGTGGTTTACCATTTTCTTCTCCAGGTCATTATACAGATGAGGAACTGAGGCAAACAGGGTTGAGTGACTTGCCCAGGGTCACACAGCTAGTAAATATCTGAGGCTGGATTTGAACTTGGAAGGATAAGTCTTCCTGACTCCAAGCCTGGGACTTTATCTACTGTGCCACCTAGTTGCCCCTAATCAAGGATAACATAATAATAAAATCTGGTACTTGGGTTTGTGATAAATGTGCTTTTGAAAGGCAGCAGCCATAAATGACTGACCAGGTCTTCTAGGAGGCAGATTACTATATATTGTAGTAGGAAGAACATTGATTGGATTTGGATGCAGGGGACCAGGGTTTGTGTCTTGGCTCAGCCGTTTAAAATCTGTGACTTTGGGCAAATTGGTTAATTTCAGGAATCAATTTTTCATCTGCAAAATGAGGTGGGGTGGTGGGCGAGATGTATACTAATGTCCCTTGAGATTTCATGATGCACTCTTAAGAGGGGATAAGACTTAGGCCAGCTGATTTCCTGAACTCTAATGAGCTTGAAATTTTGTTTAATTAGCTGACATTTATGTAGGTTTAACATTCCTAAAACACCTTACATGTGTTATCTATCTGATCTTCATAAGAACCCTGTGAAATAGGTGCTCTTATTTTGATGACAGTGTTGCTTTGGTGAAAAAGAAAATCAAAAGGTACTGTGTATGATTTTGTTTCCTTGAATAATGTATGTGAATAGAGCTTGGTATTTACAGGATATATAAAGGCAGTAGAAGGGTTGACAAATGTTGCTTTTTTTAAAGCCCAGATTCTGGCTTTTAGAAGAAATAATTTGTCTTCCGATCCTTCTGCCTGGGGTCTGGGCAGCTTTCTGCTTTTGCAGATGTGGAGGCAATCAGGGTTGAAGTCCTGCCAAGTGTGGCTAAAATGTTTATCTCTATAACCTTGTATGTATGCACGTAGCCATGAGCTGGCTCTCCCTACTAAAACACTGTCTAGCTGAGTGTCTTTTGTGTTTCCCACTTTCTTTGTTTGGACCCAACCCCTCGAGTCCACAGCTGACTTTTGCAGTCATTTATTAATTAGCCAAGATCATAGGCCACTTACTGCAGTTGTCAGCATTGTCAGTAAAATACCGTGTCAGTGACACAGAGGGAAAACTGAAGATTAAACTGATTTCAGAAAATGTGAAGTCTCTGCCCTGAAGGATGTGTAATCTACCAGAAATCAGATGGTACGGGCAGAAAAGAATGGAGCAATGTTATCCTGGTAACTTTTTAGCTGAAGATTTTAGATTAATAGGGAATTGGAGAGATGGGGGCTTTCTACAGGTTGACATTGGTAATATTTTAGGAGTTCTGAGTTTGAGGAAAAGGGGGTGTTATGTGGTACTGGGGAGTAGTAGGCTGTTTGGAAGAGGGATATTGGAGCAGAGCAGAGGAAACTGAAGAGTGGGATGGGGGAGGTGGATCAAGAGGGCCTACATATGAGAGTGGAGGAGTTTCTGAAGACTGGAAAATTACATTAGTGTTTAACATCCATGTCCCTTTGAATTTCAGCTTCCTGCTCCTTTAACCTCTGCTGGCTTGCCCTTTCTTCCTCTGGTAAAAGTTTGAGGAAGAGAGAGGAATGATCAGTGACTTGAAAGGAAGATGAGCTTCCTGGAAGAATTTTGGAAATTCTGGAGGGGGCAAAGGAAAACATTGGGAAATTTTGAAAGCACAGGGATGCCTGCCTAGGAGAGCCTAGGGAAGGCTGATTAGAAAGGAGAGGATATAAATGTCTTTGTTCTATATAAAAGAGGAAAGAAGGATACAAGATTTCAGACTATTGGTTCAGAGATTGGAAAATGCCAGTTCGTAGTTTTAAATTCTTATGCAGAGAGTTGCTTGTTTGGGAAATAGAGGCTGAGCAGATAAAGGAGAAAATGGTTAAGTGAAAGGGCAGCTCAGGTTGGAAAATATTGAATTGATTTGATAAAAGTCCAGCCCTCAACCTATATCCTGTTGGTTTTACTTTAGCAAGTCCCAAAGTGGGCCTGCATCTGTATTTTTGGGTAGTCTAGAACCTCCCCGAATTTCCTTTTTAAAATATCCTATAACAAGTTACCTTTTTGGGTTGTGCTGTGAATATAATAGGATGTGACTTTGTTTCTCCTTTAATGTAATAGCATGTTTATTATATTCCTACCCTCAGTTAAGGTTTTTCTTTTTCCCCTTGTGGAACGGTTAAAGGCAGAGTAATTTCTATTTTTCTGCTGTTGTATCAAATCACAATGAGACTTCTCTGCTATTTCTTTGTGTAGGAGAGGGTCTTGCAAAACAGAGGGATACTTAGGTGAAGCTTTTTATACTCAAAAGTATACCCATAATAGTGTACAAAGACCCTTGTACATTGTATAGGAAGGATAAGGTAAGGAAGACGTTTTCTCGAATCCATAGATTTTCTTGGGAATTGGGAATATAAATATTTTCCTCATTATCCTTCTTATTCATAGGCTAAGTGAGATAGAAAGATTGGAGACCCTTTGGCTTCTGCTTAGTGCTCTATAGCATAGAACTTTAAATGACATTCATTCATTCATGAAAAATTTCTTGAGCACCCACTAATGTGTTAAGCACCATAAGGATTGCAAGGATAAATCAGTGATGGTCTCTGTCATCAGAGCTTACAGTCTAGCAGAGAAAGAGCTGGAGGGAGACTGTTTTCCCATTTCAGATTAGAAATGTGTTTTTTTTTCCTTGAGCCACATAGGAGAAAATCTAACCGACTGCTTGAGCCATTCTTGGATTTTGGCTGTGTTTATGAAACACTTCCTAATTTGTAATAAGTTTTTAGAGCCTTTAGGACTTGAATGTGTCAAGGGAAGTCTGGAATCTGGAGGGTATGTTAGTACAACAGGGGGAGGAGAGCACTGAACCAGGTGTACCGGCAGACCTTCTTTGAGTTGGGACTGATATTTTCTGGCTAGCAGACTTGATGGCAAACCACTTAC